AAATTTGACTCGACTCGACTCGAAAAAAATGAGTCGAATAGAGTTGGTCTTTAAACTCGACTCGATTCGACTCATTCGGAACTCTACTTAAGACCACGCTCATAGATAGGGGATCCTAAATCATCACTGATCTAACCTGATAGCTTTTGCGATGAATCATTTATAGGTGGAGGTGGAAGATTAGAGAGATTTGCTATTTTATTATACGAAATGCCTCTCAGCTCTTTCTTTAATGCTAATTGGTCTCTAAGAGACCTATTTTCATCTATTAATTTTAATCGCCCTGAAGACTAAATATCTATTTTCCGTTTATATATATTATCTGATAACTTTTTTCCTTTTTTCATATATTCTATTTTATAATTTTTTGAATTAATGTCCTTCTTCACTCAATCCAATTTAAACCTGAGAGAATCGATCTCTTTGGGATCAGATAAGTTTATTTAGGTTAGCGTTTCCTATTATAGAATAGTGAATCCAGTTTAATATCCTCTAACTTACCTTCCAATTTACGTACTTTAGCTTCAAGAGAGAGAATCTCAATCTTGTTAGAGGATGAAGCTTTCTAGGCCAGGATCACCTTTCTCTTCAGAGTTTTAATAGAAAATTTAAGCGATTTTATTTCAGCTTCAAGCTCACGTTGACTTTCAGAATGAGACTTCCATTCAGAAATAAGTTAGAATCTAACTTTAGCGTTAGACGCATTTAACTGGCTAATATTATTTCCAATATTAGCATAGGTTTGCTAGAACTCCTTTTCTCATTCTGAATACTCTGAATTTTCAGCCTGCAACTTTTCGTTGAAGTCAATAATTTCAGAGTTAAAATCAATAATGGATCTTAATTTTTTTTTGAGCTCTTGCTCATATATACTACCTAGCCGATGTCCTCTATCTTTTATATCTTTCAGTATATACACTTGGGCATAATCTTGGCATGGTTATATGGTAGAAAAAAAATGGATAAATAATTTTTTTTGAAACGTGTGGTCCAGAAATTTCAGAAGCACTTTATTTTTTCTATATATTGATATGTATTGATGGGTATTGAAATATATTAATAATATATTGAAGAGTATTAATACACATTGAAAAAATATTAATACATATTGAAAAATATTGATATACACGTATTGATATACATGAATATTTTATTGAAAAGTATTAATATTTTTTTTTATTATAAAAATCTAATGAAGATGGTAACCCGTATCTATAATACATATTATGATGCTAAGGTAACCTATTATCAAAAGCTGATATCAAGGAAATTAGAGAATCCAGAGGTAAGATACCCAATGCATTATAAAAAATGGCTAGTAAATTTCATATCAGACTTAAGCGTGTTTATAAAATATGGGATAACAAAAAATGCTTCTAGCAAGAGATAGTTCCAGAAGGATTGATTATTTCATCTTCCTTCGGTCAGCCTATTTCAGATGAGAATTCCTAGACTAATAAGATAGAACAGACTGAGTCAGATATATATAGCTAAAATATATCCCCTTCACAAAACTAGAAAAAAAAATACGTAATGCTGAGATTGAACTTAGTGAATCTACTGATTTGGCTTCAGAAGAAAGTGTTATTTTAGGCGATAAGGCAAAAAAGACTGGAGAGAAAAAGTTGAAGTCTAAGTTCATGTTAGCTTTGTCAGTACTATCTATTAAAACTCAGCCAATCCCAGCTTCAAAAAAAGATACAAATAATGTAAATTTGAATATATTGTATGAAAAGATGGTCAAAAAAAAGCACAAAAATTTTAGATGAAAAAAAGAAGTTATCCTGAAAATAACAAAAATGATGTAGTCTCTTCCTCTGATAATTTATCTAATACATCCTGAGAAGCAAAGATAAAATCTCTTCTTAAAAATCTAGTTAATCGTGGTGAAAAACTTAAGGGTTTAACAGCTAATATCACTATTATATAAAGATTCACATGTATTAGCAAGAAATTTATCAGTATTTAAGGCCAAATAGACTATTTCTTCAGCCTTTACAAGACTTTTTTCAAGCTTTACACAGTTTACGCACTTTTTGTTAAGTTCTTCTTAAGGCTAAAAGAAATAACAGAAACTTGAGAGCTGAGAGGTACTTCGCATAATGATTTCTGATCCTCTTTTGACAGGTCCTTACCTATAGTAAAAATATTACGTTGGGATTTGTGAACTAATAAGGAATAGTAATAGTTTTTTTATTACATGTGGCCTTAAATTCTCCTTTTATTAAAGGCTCTCATCTGACTCGATATTGTCATTGCGTTCCAAGAATTACTAAAGATTTAGCATTTCCATCCTGATCTTTTTTCGCAGGCATAATAGAAAATTTATCTATTATAGAGGCTGTATTTTCTCCAAAACTAATTGTTATGGGAATATTATCCATAGTACCAATGGATTTTGATTGACTTGCAATCCTATTAAGTCTATGAATTTTTTCCTATTAATTTTAATTCCTAAAAGCTCTTCGATAAGTTCAACAATGTTATCTGAAAATATGAAAAAATCAGAACCAGTATCAATCATTGCGCAAGGTATTACCAAATTTCCTATTTTACAATAAATAGTCACAACATCGTCGGCATTCTTTATTTGTAAAAAATTTATTTCTAAAGGTTTGGGCCAATATATTTGGCTATTTTTTTTTCAACTGAATAATATTGCACATATGCCTTAATAGCATAATTCAAAGTATGCCCATTTTCTGAATGGTTATTATCTGGCAATGTTTCTATTTCATAATATTATTTATCATTCTTTTAGCTTAATGCAATTCCTTAAGGACCTGCTCTTCCTAAAAAAGAGACGAAACTTGTAAAAGTGATTTTTGCTCAGTATTTACTGCTTATAATAGCAGAAGCAAGATCTCTTGTACTTTTTTATAACATTCTCCCATGCTAATTCTCTTCTTTTAACTGTATCATTTAGTATAATAGTATTCAAGCAATGGTCTTTTAATTTAAAGTATATTGTATTAATAAATTTTAAAATTTTTATAAGAATTTCTTTAAGGTAATGGGGGATTACTGATGATATTATAGATTTTAAGGCTATTTGATACATTTGATCTGTAGCCATGCAAAGTACCTCTTTGGTATTTTCAGCATAAGATTTGAAAGTAGGAGATTCCTTTTTGTGAACCTTTTTATAGGTACTACATTTTGTATCACTTTTTTTTTACAGCATAGCAGTTTTGGTCAGTAATGTTTAGAGCAGATCCATCATCATCAATATATTCATCACTCTTCTCAACTTTCTTCTCAACTATGTATTCTATTTCAGGTTCTTCAGCCTCTTCCTCAAATATGTATTCTATTTCAAGTTCTTTAGAGTCATCAGAGGACCCTCTTGGGATGGGATCTTTCTCAACATTTTGGTATATATAATTAACCTTTTTAGTACTTTTAATTCTAGGACAATTAATCTTTATATGACCAGCTTTTTTACAGACTGAGCAAAGATGAATAATTTGTTTTACTGGTGTTTTTTGTATTACCTTTCTAACAGCTTTCTTTGTAGCATTTGTATTTCTAACCTGAGGTTCTACAAAGAGACTCTTTCTAACATGAGCTATTTTGCCTTCCAGTCTTCTACCAAGTTCTTCGTAAATGAATTTTTCTAAAGTTTCATTATCCATTTCTATTCCAGCATATGCTAAATCTTTTATTAGATATGTTTTAAAATCATCTTTTTTCAGAATAGGTAGTGTTTCTATTATTTGCTGAATAGATACGATTTCATAGTAACCTACTCTATTTGAACTTATAACAGGATTACGTTATAACCATAGATTCTTTAGTTCTATAAAGTATGCATCTATATCAGCAGGGTTAGCGATTTTCATCTATATATAGAAGTCATCTGATAAGTAGTTTTTTAGAAATGATAGTGCTGTTACATCATTATTTGCTATACCCATTAATAATGGTTGAATTTTTTTTTATAAGTGTTAGGACTATCTGTTGGTAAAAATCTTTTTTGAAATAATCTCTGAATTGCTGATTGTTAGATACTTATATTTTTACATTGATATTTTATTTGCATCCATGCTCTTAATATAGCTAGAGAATCTATAGTAGGGATTCCAGCTGTATAGGGGTCATTATTCAGAACTGGTATATATATTCTTCCTAACTTTGATTTAAAAAACCAAATTTAATCGCATCATTAAAGTCTCCAGCATTGATATTTTCAAGTGCTATCATATTTGGCTCTAAATGTGAAATAGAATTCCAGATTTTATTTAAGTAATCGTTGAAGGGTTTCTGTCCAATATATTGATCATGTTTTGCAAAAATAGTTGCTATTATATTGTATAACAATTGTCTTTTAGCTTCTGCTATATTTTTTAGAGGATTATTAATTTGTAAATTTAAAATAATTTGCTTCAAATTTATTTCCCTAACCTTTCATTTTTGATATCGATTAAATATCCAGGCCCTGTTAAATTCTGCCAAGTCAGCCTCAGCTTTACACCTTCGATTTATTAACTGAAGGCCTACCTTTTCTTGCAATAATATATGGTTACGCTTTTCTGCTCTCTGAGTTCTAAGCTACCATACCTGATGCTCATTTACTTTATTATTATATTCTAAAGTTAATAATTAAGCTCTTTGAAGACATCATTTCTAACATTTGCCATATCATTTATAAGATTATTGACCTATCCATTAGCCATATTAAGCAAACCTTGATAGTGTAAAATCTCATTTGATATCCTTTGCATATGGGTACAAATAGTTGTTAATATTATTCATATACCATTCAAGGTATTTTTGGGGTCAAATGATCCATCTCCATTAACATATAATTCAACACAGTCTATATCTGTAGCAATATCTCTTAAAAGTTCTAGTAATACCATTAGTGAACTATTTATTTGAGATAATTTTTTATCTGTAATCTTTCTAATTCGCTTTTTAAGCTGTTTAACCATGTCTTCTAGCCTTAAAATATGGATATTTTAAGCAGTACTTGCATTACCTTTATGCCTTAAATCCTGTAATACTTTATGAAAATGCTGTTTAAGAGATTTTATTTCAGACTTAAGAGATGCTATCTTATCTTCATGAGCTAATATTATTGAATCCTGGTGAGATAATATCTTATAACAGTTTTCTAGCTCTCTAGAAAGTAATTTTAGCATTTTATTCTTAAGTTTACTTTCAGTTATTTCATCTTTCAATTCTTTGCGTAACTTTTTATTAGTATTTAAGATTTCTATGTAAGCAGGATCATTCATGTTAATTCCTATTATTCAAATAGAATCAGGTGAAGCTTGAAAACTTGATATTCTATTGCTTTGCAAAAGATTTATTATCAGCCTTCGGATTATCAAAGGACTGTAAAAAAAATACACAAAGTCTCTCAAAAAGCTGGATATGATTTTTTTTAATGAAGTGCGTGACTGGCTTGAGAGATAGGTTGTTCACCAAATTCATATGCCTTGTTCTAGATATATTTCAAATGCATCTTTCATTAATATTACTATACCTATAAATGTTATTCAAGCTGACTTATGCTATATGTCTTATAATCAAATTGAAAATAAAACTTACAAATTCGCACTTAATTGTGTAGATATTGCTATCTGTACTAAATGAACATATAGAGTTCTGAATGAGTCGAATCAAGTTGAGTTTAAAGACCAACTCTATTTGACTCATTTTTTTCAAGTTGAGTCGAGTCAAATTTATTTTATAAAATCTTTCAATTTGATTTGATTCGAGTTATATAAATTTTAAACTCGACTCAATTTGGCTCAACTCGATTTTAACTTGATTCGATTTTGAAAAAAAAATAATAATAAAAAAATGAAAAGAACGATTCGGGTCATTATTCTTCTTAAACGATTTTTTTTATCGTTCAAGTCGAACGATTCAAGTCATTATTCTTCTTGAATGACTTTTTATCATTCAAGTCGAACGATTCAGGTCATTGTTCTTTTTGAACGATTTTTTATCGTTCAAGTTAAACAATTCCTTATCGTTCTTCTTGAACAATTTTTTATTGTTTAAGTCGAACGATTCCTTATCGTTCTTCTTGAACAATTTTTTTATCGTTCAAGGTGAACGATTCCTTATTGTTCGACTTGAATGATTTTTTTATCGTTCAAGGTGAACGATTCTTTATCATTCTTCTTGAACGATTTTTTTATCGTTCAAGTTGAACAATTCCTTATTGTTCTTCTTGAACGATTTTTTTATCGTTCAAGTCAAACGATTCCTTATCATTCTTCTTGAACGATTTTTTTATCATTCAAGTCAACTCGAGTCAACTCAAATCAAGTTGAGTTTAAATCGAGTCGAGTTAAATATTTAACTCAACTCGAATTTGGCTTGATTCGCAAATCATCGAGTCAAAAAAACACAAACTCAACTTGATTTGAACTCGACTTGGCTTATCTGATTCATGAGTTAACTCGACTCATCCAGAACTCTATAAACATATCTTTTAACTAATCGTGATTCTACTAGCGTAGCTAAAGGATTTGAGAAACTTTTTAAATCTCGAATATGTCCAATTGACTGGTCTAAAGTTAAAGTTTTAATGATAGATGGTAGTGTTGAATTTTGGGGTGATGTTATTAGATTAATAAATAAATATAATATCAATATTCTAGTAGCTAATTTTAAAGAAAGTATAGATATTGTTGAAAGGTTTAATAAGATATTACAAGAATGGTCATCTATTATTTAAGATGCTGTTGATATGAGATTACCTATATCAGAACATTGTCAAGCTTAAGTTAGAAATCTTTCAATTTTTCTTGAGAATCTTGATAATTCTGTGACTCATCTTTTAGGTATTTCTCTTGCTAATGCACAAAAACTAAAGCATATTTATGCAAAACCTTCTAAGCCTCGAAATGGACCTATTGGGTTTGATGAAAAGCAATTAACTTATGATGTTCTTGTAAGATATTTACTTAAACCAGGTGAGTTAGAAGGTGGAAGAAGACGTGTTAGAGATATGATTTGGTCTCTTTAAGTTTGTCATATCCATGAATTTTTAGTACAAAAAAAATCAACTGGTCTTATATTGGCTAATAAATAATGAGAACAATAGCCTAAAAAGATCCTTTGTAAGAGAGAAGCTTCAATTTATACCTCTTAACATAGAATTACTGTCACAATGGGTGCTCATGAATTAGATTTCTAATTCATGAAGTTTTTTTTTAACAATGTAGCACTACCAGTAACTTTATTAAATTTATACAAAAGAAATACAAAATAAATCAAATAAATCTAGACTAAGTACTAACTATCCTCTGTAGTTATATTACAAATCCGTTTAAATTGACCAATCATCATCTTCCTCCTCCAACAAATCCACTAAGTTAATTCCTAATGAAAATTGCTATCAACAAGAGAAGAAAAAGAAAGAGTCAGTGCCTATCTAAAAATCTGTAAAGGTGTAGCTAAATTTATTCGCCATGTTTATCTAAAATTTCCAATTATATGTAGGACTTGATGTCTCTTTGTGTCTCAAGAATGAATTGGCACCTCGTTTAGTCTTATCTTTGATTGTAATACCTAATAAACGTTCTTTTGCTATCATTAGATTACAATGGTGTTTTCAAATATTCTCAAATAATTTTTTTTGAAAAATTATCAAGGTTTGAGTAATGATTAAAAAACATTGACTCTTATTTCTGAAGATTTTGTGAACTATATCTATTAGAGAAGAAGAAATGAGAGAACAGATAATATTGATATAACCATTTGTTCTAGATGAGGGGGTGGTAAGAATGTCATTTAGAATATCTAGTAATTCAGGAAGAAACTCAGTGAGTTTAGCGATATTCAATTCTGTGAGATGATATATTAAATCATTTTTGATTGTTTGAATAACATTTGTAATTTTGTAGCATAGGTGAGATAGGTTCAGAGATGTCAAAAGTTTCTGTATCCAGTTCACAACTTATACAACATCAATGTTCATACAAGTTAGGTCATAGTATAAATAATCTTGATAAGGTTGATAGTTCATTGACAAAATTTTTAATGATGAAGGTCTTGAGTTTACAAGAGGCAAATGAAGTATTAAGTGAAAATGAGTTTAAGGAGAATAAGAACCAAATAGCAGGCCAGCTGATAAAGTGATTTCTAGTAAGACGTCTGATTTGATTATTTCTATTTAAGTCAAGAAAGTTGCAAAAAGTCTTGGCAGAAAAAAGTTCTTTGAAAAAACCTCAAATAGATATTTCAATAGATACGTTATTGAAAGTGAAGATAAGATCAGATAAGGGAATATTATTCAATACTGGGATAAGAGGATGAGTGGTACATTCAGCTTTGGTCAATTGGTTAGCGATATCATTGAAGTGATTGCTAGTATATGCTTTAATCTTGTAAAGGTGTATATTAAGATTCAATGCATCTATTAAATGTTTTGTAAGGTGCCAAATAGAGTGATTGGGTATTTTTTCAAATTTTTTGGGTGAAAGATCGTTGTTCAAAACATATTTGAAAAAACTATGGATTGTGGCTTGATTATCTAAGAAGATATTGACAGAAGAGGACTGTGGTGACACTAACAGAGCAGTGAAAAAAGCATATATTTTAGCACGTATTGACAAAGATCAGTTTATCACTGAGACCTTGAATGAGTGATGGTTATTAAATGAATCAATACAAATCCATCTCAGTCACATTTTACATAATTCTGTTTTAGGAGAGATTAAAGAACTATCAGTATAAAAATGTCAAGGATGTGTTATTAGCGAGCATTGTTTGTAAAGATTTAAGCTCAATTAATTTTACAGAAGGGAGGAACATTATATCAAATAAATTGGTTGATTGTGAGATAGGAGGTTGTTACTAGAGCTCCGAATCAGATCAGGTCGACCTATTTACCTGACCTGAACTGACTTGAAAATTCAGGTCAGATCAATATATTTTCAGTTTGATGTTAGGTCGGGTCAACAGGTCGAACTGAACTGATCCGACCTGATAAAAATTCAGGTCAACCAATCATTTTTCTTGAATAATTTATTATTGTTAAATTATAAATAACAAAGTTGATTAAATAAATTAATAATTGTTTATTATATTATTATTTATATTAAATATATTTTTTTTTTTATTTTATTAAAGTGCGATAGTTCCACATAATCTTTATTATGATAAAAGTATGATATAAAGTAAAATACAAATCAAGAAGAAAAAGTGAAAATCTCGTACAAAAAAGTAAAATTAGACTATAGAAGACTAACCCTATACTCCCTCAGATTAATTTTAACCTAAGCTAAAACTATCACTTCCAAGTATTTAACTAAAAAAAAGGGAGAGGGCTTGGCCACTACTACACTAAAAATTCGTCCAGTGAGATCCTAGTTGCACTATAGTGTTTATTAGATCAACGTTATTGTTGTTGATAGGAATATCATAAGGAAGATCAAAACCTGAAGAGGTAAAATTGTCCTTTTTATCTTGAAAGTTAATGTTGACAGCTTTCTCGATGGTGGATTGATGGGTACATCTTTCAATTCAGAAACGTTGTGATTCTTCATAAATGAAGTGCATGAGGGATGAACACGCAGCTAAAGCTATAGGCATGTGTGAAAGGTTATTATGAATAAATTCAAAGAGGGAAGTAGGAACAATGCCTTTAATGAGCATCACAAAGGAAAAGAATGTAGAGAGGTTCTACCAATTAAGATTATCAATATCGTTTGAATGTGCATTGGTAATGACTCTAAGGTAGTCTTTAACTCATTGAATGAGCAGTTTCATTTGATAGTTGACTATCAGACAGGTCCATATATGGAAGAAGTCTTCGTTCGCAGTCTCATATCAGGGATACAGGGCTGAAGGTGGAAAAAGGGACAGATATCTAATTTTCAGAATTTCAACTGTAGAAAGCATTTCCAGCAACCGTTAGAATTTTTTTATTCTTGTATTAGAGGCTACATATGATGTGTGATTGATAGCGACATTGTCATTAAGGCAGAAAGAAGTAACAAGCCAATTGATTTTGAAAAAAGAGTAATATTTGTTGACTACATGCAGGGATAAGATTTGCTGAAGATGCTTGTGTCAGAAGATGTTCTTTACAAATTGTCTAACTGGGAGAAAAATAGGCTGGTTGTTATAATTGAAGAAGCTTTGTGGAGTAATCATCATATTAAGGTGCAAGACAGAAAGAATGAAAGTGTCTTTTGCTATAGCGTCTACCTTGTTGTTCAAAAGATTGTTTGAATATGCTTTGACTTTTATTAAATGGATGTTAAGGTTGTGC